CGCCTGTTCGGGAAAGCAACGAGTGAAGAATGTCCCTGGCACTTGCGAATTGCCGGCTGTCCTTGCCGGAAAGGCCCTGCCGCCGACCAGCCAACTGAGACAGCTGCTGACAAGGCGAGCCACCAGCCAGTAGACAGCAGTCGGGTTGCATCCGCTTGAGCAAGTCATCAAACCATGCAGAAGAGACAGAGTCCACGGAGCCCGCCTGAATGAGGTTGGGGTGGCGATGTTGCAAGACAGCCAGGCAATCCTGATCAATCTCGAAGCTGCACGGCAAAACTTCAAAAACATCAGCGGGCAAGGACAACCAAACCGCACCAACACCATCGAAGAAGGAAAGCACGAGCATCTTGGGCTTGCCAAGGTGACGGAGCCTTTGCATCGCCTGTTTGCTGGGCCGGGTGAGCGACACATTCGCGGCCCAAGACAGTTCCTCGCGGGGAGCAGAAGTGCCTGGAATAACAGCAACGCTAGCTGCAGGCATGCAGGACCACTCCCCTGGGGGCGGAGTTGGCAACACCCGCGCAACATTCTGCACGCTAGGAAACGGGCGCGAAACACCCCCCACTGTCTCAGAATCATCATCGGAGCTCCGTGCCAGTGAGGGGAGCTGTCCCTATTTGTGGTGTTCACAACGGCGATGTGGCTGACCGCAAGCAACGCCCGCCTTCGTCAGGTAGTTGCAACTGTGCTGTCGCCCATGCTTGCAAGATTGAGGGTTGCACTTGCCGTCATTCCACAAGCGACACAAAGACTTGCCAGATGAATCAACTGATGCAACTTTGGGAGCATTAGGATCCTCCTCACGTTTTCTACGCTTGGGGCTTGGATCCAAATCCACCAGAGCTTGCGCAGAGGTAACATCGGCAGGATGTGCAAACAACCATAAAGCTGCAACCTTGGCCTCGCAGGACTTGACAGCCTCATCAAAGGACTTCCCTTCACGCATGGCCTCTGCCCATAGCGTACGGGTGTCTTCATCAGCGCGACGAAGTGCTGACAAAGGCTGCAACTGGCCTGTGAGCGGCGCTACCTTGGCACGAACAAATGACAGGTAGTCACGAACCACCTGCATGCTGCAGAAAATGGTGTTGGAGGAGGCATAGAGGAAGTTGCCCACGAAGGCGTACCCTCCGACCAGAAGAAGCTCGAGCAACTGCAAGTACACCATGACGCTGGGGACAGTTCTGGGTCCTTTCGAAGAGCCCGTCGTGTCAAAGTGCAAACTGACAGACGCCCCGACCTTGAGATGTTTTCCTGCAGAGTCACGGGCGGACTCCCGAGCTGAGCGGCACCTATCCACGGAGATGAGTGTGTGACACTTCCTGTCAATTTCCCTCTTGACGCGGCCCACAATAGGTTCACAAAGGGACTCATTAAGCGACAAGCTGAATCTGTACCTTTCCAGGAATCGTTGCCGAAGCCCTTCCCCAACATGATCTGGCAAGGGGTCTTCAAGGTCATCCTGCTTGAGGCCCTGAGCCTTGCGCTGCAGACGCAAGGACTCAGCATGATCGACCTCTCGCCAGAGCTCTGTCAGAGCGCCTTTAATGCTCCGAGGGTTGGGAACATTATGCAACTTGGAAACGATGACGGGCATAACCTCATCCCTGGAGTCCAAGTAGTTCGCAAAGCGAGCAGCAGTTGTGATGCCCTCATTTTCAAAGAAAGTGACGACCTCAGCAGGGAGGCCGCGGTCCTGCAACTCCTGCCGCCACGCGGGATCCATGTCTAGGAGAAAAGCACACGGCGCAAACACTTGACAAGGAGAAAAAAATGGCTGCACAGATAACGTGAAAAAAAAATCGACAAAAAAACTCAAGCCCGGTGCGAAAGGATGGTCGCTGCTAAGCGGTGCTTGTGAGACGAAGACAGATGTCAGCCGCGCACCTTTCACACCACTTACGCTGGGGGAACTCAGCCATAACGGCAAAGGCGCCTGTGCCCGAATGGGGCGCGCCAGAGATTGCGCAACAGGCGGGTCTTGCACAACCCTCCCGGCTCACCTTGGTTGGATGCGCTCGGTGAATCTTGCCGCCAGGATGCTGAGGCACCACCCACTCAAAGGTGGCGAGATCAACGTCATCTTCGGCTGAACTGCTGGAGGACGAACTCGAGAGAGAGATGCTTGAACTGGAAGAGGAAATCTCCGGGCCCGGTTGGTGTTCTGATGGCACGACTTCAGGGCATGGGTCTGCGGACTCCACTGCGACAGCCGGCCTGACCTCATCAACCAATCGGGGCAAAGAAGACTGCAGAAGCTGCGGCCAGGACAAGGCATGAGCATCTCCCTGAGCACACGCCAGACCCTGCCGCACGGCCTTCAGCACCTGCAGCTTGACCCTCTGCTGAGAGAGGAGTTTCACAGACTCATCTGCGTAACGAACTGGCATGCTGGCAGCAGCGTTAGGATGACTGGAATCCAAGGGGTCCACCCATGAACCCAACGCAAGACGGTCATGGAGAGGCATCTGCAAGCATTCCGCAACAGTAGCCAAAGTCCTAAGTGGTTGGAAGCTCCCCCGAGCGCACACCCCACTCGGAGGGCGCAAGGAGAACCAGCTGCTGTAGAGTGCGCTGCCACGCAGGGGTGCTCATCGGCACAAGAGCGAAGCCACGCGCATCGACCAGGCTCGTCTTGAACGGAAGCAAAGCCGGCACCAGGAAGTCAACATCACCGCCAGTGAGCACTTTCCAACTGTCATAGAAAGCGCTGCCCAGGTTCGAATCCCAAATGCCCGAGGACGGCATCACCCAATCAAACGGTGGAGGTGCTCGGCGTCCCCGTCACGTCTTGCCGCGTGAACAGCGTAGCCTCAAAGAGCCCTCAAGCTCAGAAACGAACGAGCTCCGCTGCGCATGCTTGAACCGCACACCAGAGTACGTTAGCAACGCTGCCGCTGACCCCAGATACCGAAAGATTTGGCTGGGCGAAGATGTAAGTCTTTCAAAGCATCCCAGGTCACGAATCGTGAAGGGTGGAGCCTGCTTCAGTGGCTTGGGCGGTTCCGCATCGGCTGGCGCCGACACCAGCTCATCATCTAAATGCATGTGCAGCCCAAGGTGGTCCCGCAAAAACTTCAGACCCGACAAAACAGTTCCCACGGCTCCCGGGCCTCCAGCATTGCGGCGCTTGACCCCTTCACCACGTTGCACAGAGGAAAGGAACATCGCAGCTGGCACAGCTTGCATCGGGAGTGGTGGGAGGCGCGGAGTCTGACGCTCACACCAGGCACTCCAACGCCGCCATGCAGCTACAGCATTGCGCAAGGTGTCCGGGGAGTACGTGGCATACTTTGCTCGCAGGAGATCTCGCGCCTGTGACTGCATATGCTGGTTGCACTCCTGCATCTGCCCGGCCCGAGAACTGAACAGCAGCTCGACCAAGTTGCTTGCCAAGGTGTGAGCACGAGAAGTTTCCGAAGGGACAACTCGAGAAGTTGGACAGGACGTGGTCGCCACTTCCAAAGTCGCTGCCTCGCGAAGACGCCCTTCAGGTCTAACGTGGGCAACTGGATGAGGTTGTACTGAAGCAGCAACTGCCGGCAAGGATGCCTGCTGTGCAAAACGCAGACGTCCCCGGGCGATGGCTGCAGAGTCCATAACACGGCAAGCTTGGTCGTGTAAAGTCATCCACAAGCGGCTGTGCGGCCATCTGAGCAAGTCAGTCTTGTCCAAACCATATGCAAAATCTCGCAGCGTGAACACGTTCGCCTGCAAGAGGGCTTCCGGACAAGTCTGATCACAGCCAAACTCCGACATGAAATTTGACATGCACATCTGCAGCATCGCCGGCTGCGGAGCACAATCGTCAAGAGGGCTATCTTGCACGTGAATGGCACCATGGGCACTTGACGCAGGCGATGTCGGGACACGAGGAGATGCTGAAGCATGGCTGGAACTTCCGTCCCCGTCCTCTGAAGTTATGGAGCGCTTCATCAAAGACCCCGAAAGCGAGCGGGCCCTTGGGCCCCAAAAGCTCAGGCGAACTCAAGTATGAAAATGCACATCAATCCACACCTGCACCTGCCAAACCTTATGGATATGGATAAATGATTGGGACGTTGGTACGTTGGTGCGGTTGGGGTCTTGTCCCAACCATGAGCCGAAATGGTTTGGACAGTGGTACGTTGGTGCATTATTTTATTGGTGCATTGGCACACATAATGAAAAAACATCGAGCGCAGACAAAGTGCAAAAGACAGAAATTGCAGAAAAGGTAGGGGGGGGATAGGCGTGTACCCATATATATATATATATATATATATATCGCTGTGCGCTGTACGTTCTCGGCCGCAGCCCCCATGGTAAACCCTAAACTCGCCTAAATCCCTAAGCCCTAAATCGTGAAACCAAAAAAACCTAGAACCCTAAACTCCCAAGCCCTACCCTACAGCTAAACCCTAACACCATAAACCCTAAACGGGGCCACCGAGGTTGAACCATACATCTTCTGTTGCATGTTAGCAGTCTTCACATAGCAGGCATGATATTGGATGTTTCAGCCTGCTGAGAGCTCTTGCCCAGTGCGTGTGCGAGGGCACGGGAAGGAGAGGGAGAGAGAGAGAGAGAGGTGTTCAAACCACTCGCTGTGTGGCCAATCTCGAGAAGAAGAAGGAGGATGCAGTCTGCTGCAGGGTAACAATAGGTGCCGGGTCAACAGGTTGCATCATGCAGAACGAACAGAACGAACAGAACGAACCGAACGAAAAGAACCTGACAGAAGCTGCCAGAAGCTGCCCAGAACCTCGAAGCGCAAGCTGCGAAGCGACAGATCAGGATAAAGAAAACTACCCGTTTAATTCAGGAGGCTTCAGATCAGTTTGTAAAACTGTTGTCTGATGCTGTTTTCCAAAGAGGTGAAAGAAAATCGATGCCACGGGACGATCCGGAAATGCCCCACAGGCGAGTGCCGAATCGGCCCTTAAATCGTGCGCGACCTTGCTACTCCAAGCACACATATATGGCTGATTAGCTTCGAGCTTCGAAAGCCTGTCAGCCTGGAGGGTATAGAGCACAAGCAACAGGAGGATGTTGAGGTACTCGCCGGAAAGGTTGCTGACTTTCGCCTTTCGACAATGCCGCTCCGGACTCCCGCACCGCTCTGTCTTTTCGCACCTCATCAGCCTTGGCATCGGAGCCTTCCTCACATTCCTGGCGTTGAAGAAATGCCAGTGTGGCAACACATGGCACATCCAGGGACAGCTTAGAACGGCGTAGAGATGCAGAGCCAAGTCTACTGGTCCTCTGCTAGAGACTCCAACTCTCGAGTCTCGGCAACGCCACGAAAGCTCATGCGCAGCCTGTTTTTGACTCCAGCGTTGTGAGGGTGTGCGCGCTCGCAGTTCCACCGTTTAACGGTTTAACGTCGGGCATGGCACGTGGATCGTAGAGCGCCTGCGCAGGCCTTCAGCAGCTCCCATGAAGTCCCAAGCAAAGGTCTAGTGGAGAGCATGGGCATCCATGGGCTTTGGCGGACAAGCTTCACTACGGCAGGTGCTACTGAAGCTCAATCAACGCTGCACGTTCAGAACAGTGTTCCGAGCTCTGCTGTCACACAGCTCGCAATTTGGTTGCATATGGCTGCATCACTGTTTGCACATGTTCGCACTGTTTCAACATGCTACAGAAATATTCCTCTTGAACTTATGGCAGCTGCCAGATAAGGAACTGGTGGGCAAAACACGTGGCGATTGTCATCTGCTAGGCGGCCGACGGGTGGCTGCACTTGGCCTCCCGCAAGAAACCCACGCAGTGACTGACAAAGTTCAACTGCAGCACTGGCATAGCGTGAACGCTTCTCAGATTCTCAGTACTTCGGCAAGCACATACTTGCAGCGCCGACGCGTCTTGGTACTCACTCGTTGATCACGAGAGTCTCTTTCATCATTCACAAGTGTCTGCAGCCTGCTCTGTCTGTGCCACCATGACCTGGCTTCCTGCAGGCCTCGAATCCACGCCTTGCAAACACACGGGAGGCTAGGTCTCCAGGTCTAGCGACGCATATGGCGGGCCCATTATGACACAAAATGTCGCGGCATGGCAAGACATGTCAAGCATGCCAAAACAGGTCAAAAAGGGTGAGCCTGAAGCATCTCGGCTGCGATTCAGCAGGCCGAACAAGGACCGACAGGGAGTAGGTGCACGGAGAGGAGCTGTGGGAGACTGGGCCTGACATCGATTTTGTGACTGCGAGGCAAGTACTACAAGTTGAAACTGATTGTGCAGACTGCCTCTGTCTTGAGCTTACCTCGGCATGCCATGCTAGCCTGACCAAAAACGGATTGCTCGATCTCCACTTCTCTAGTCCCCGTGCGAGCAAAAACACGGGAATATTGGGGAACGGGTTGGCGGTTGCAGGTTGGGAAGGTTCGAGGTGGGAGTAAGGAAAAATTGGGAGGGGTGTGTCCTGGCACGCCGGGTCCAGCGATCAGCGCCGGCTCTTCGAGCAGCGCGGCTGCAAAAGAATTCACATGGGCCAGCCATCGCCCCCTCATAGCACTGTAGTTGGATTCAGCGGAGATTCTGCGGCCTTCTTTTGCTGAGGCGCATGCTCATGGCTCTACACCTCAAGGCTCCTCTCAAGCAGAATAACTATGCTTTGGCTCATTCTGCAAGAGGCATTCACACAGAATTCACTAAGGAAACCCTGTTGCCAGCTCAGAGAAAGTCCAAGCCTTGGCAGCAGAACTCTGCAGGCTCCATCGGAAGCTAACACCCTTGCAGTCACAAAAAGCGCCGAGTGCTCAGAGCGCAGTGCCGGACCGACGCTTCTTTTTCGGCGAAGGCAGAAAACCTCGGCGTCGGGGATACAAGATTGCGCTGACACTGTCGAGGAGGCAGTGCGGGCAAGTAACCCCCGCCACCCCCTTGTGTCGATATCCCTGGCCCGTTGCATAGCTCCTAGTTCGGTCTTACAAGTTCAAGCTAGACCCTCCATGCAAAGCGCATTCGGCGCAATCGCAACGGCCTGTCGAACAACCACGCAGATCTAGGCAGGTGTATTCCTCTGGCCGCCATGGAATGGTTGAAGAATTTAACGTGGGGTTTGGCAACGCGGATTTCAGATAGGCTGTTTGTTTTCCTGGAGCTACTGTCTGCGCGGTCCTTTGTACTTCACCCTGTTTGTCTCCTGCGGGGGGGGGGGGGCTGCCTCCGAATCCTCAGTAGGTTCTTCAGTCGGGCCTTTGACCAGGCTGCCTACCAAGGCTGTTTTTGTACAGACGGGGCATTTTTGCCTACAAAGAACAGGATAAGAGGCGGCAGGCCGACAGCCCCATTATCCCCATTGCTCCAGGTGCTTGATAGGAGCACTGCGCCGGGCATTTGGCGCATTGATCACCCATCTCCAGCTGCAAGGTCCGCAAACTTGCGAGGCATCAGCGTAGGGTTTGGGCAGTCTCGTGCCTGCACTCCACCATCCATGTGGCCCTTTGTGGTACCATTCTGAACCGGGAGAGCTCCCATTTCCTCCACGTGCGCAAGAGCTGTTTAAGGATTCTGCTGACGAAAAAGGCCACTTGTTCCGGGCGAACCACAAAGGAAACCAGCTCACTCGCAAGGTTCGAGTCAAGCGTACACGCGACAGAGTCGCTCTCCTGCCCTCGCTGGCAGGGACCCAGAAACTCGCGGCTCCTGGCGTGCCCTCAAAAGTTGGAAAGTGGCATCAAGGACAAAAGATGGCACTAGGAAGAAAAGTGCACCAGCGAACTTTGACTGGAGCTTCAGTTTCGCCCGGAGGCACAAAGCTAGGGCACTCTCAAAGAAGCGAAGCTTCCAACAACTTCGGTGCGAAGCACTGTGGACGTTTTGGGAAAAGTGCCGAAAACACCGAGGATTCTGGAAGCCCCACCCCCGAGAAAGGAACGCGAAAACGTGCGGAAACAGCGCATTCCGTCAGAAACCCACAAAAAGCAGAAACCAATTCCTTCACAATGCCTTGGCGCACATCTAGGGTCAGCCCCCGAAAGTCCTGACACCTCTGCACCAGTGTGGTCCTGCACTCACGACCTCTGACTACCCTTAACTAAAAGGGTCCTCGAGATAAAAGGTTGCCCGGCACGACTTCAGCCAAAGCTCTCGCCGTCTCTTTGCCAGGAGAAGTGTGAACTCTCTTCATCATGATCACGCACAGCCAGGGTAAGGCCAGGACTTGCGGCTGCCGTCATAACGGCCGGTGCGCAAGCAATGGAGGGTACGCTGTCCTGGACAAGCCCCAGGCAGCAAACGATCATGAGCCCTGCGTTTCATTCCCAGCAGACAAGACCCTGCAAGCAGAGGCATGAAAGACGTTGACTACATGCCTCCAGCTCTGCCTTCGTTCCGAAGTTCTCCAAGACATGATCCTGATGTCATGTTCGAGTGTCCTAATGCGCAACTTGATGATAAGCGACAAACACGGACCAAGCCCGCAACATCCAATGCCCGCACAGCATGGCAGAGTACCCGGTCCTGGTTGTCGGGCACCGACTTCGATGACTAAAGCCCACAATCCAGGGCTTGTCATCATCAGCTGATAAGGCTCGGACAAAGTTCCCCACACACTCGAAGTGGGAGGTACATCCTGCCAGCACAGGGCTTCCATTCGGCAGGGATTAATTCTTGCAGCTGAGCTGTTGGAGCTTTCCTAGGTGAGAAGTTAGTGCTTCAGATTCCATGTGGCTGTTGCACCCGGTTCAAAACCAGCCGAAATGGTCACACAACGAAGCAAGGCTGCAAAAATGACGAGAGAGGAGTTCGAGAAAACATACATAACTTCCATGGCATTCCTAGTCGGCCTTTCTTATCCCTTATCGTGGCGCATAGTGTTCAAAGCACAACTGAAGGCTCTGCCCCAGAAACTGATTCTCGAAGCAGCGCTTCCAACCCGGTGACGTGCCCCATGCGCGTGTTGTCGAACACGGCTCCTGGCTGTGGCACGGCCCCGTCCTGTTCCCTTCCTTGTATCACGTAGGACTGACTTGGCACGAACGGCAGCTAGAATAAAACGCGCTCAAGTTCCCCATTGAGGACACTTCAATTTTCGTGGCATCACCATTGCACATGTGTTTGACCAGCAATCGCGCGGTCTTATTGGCTCACAAGGAACAAGAATTCGTGTGACTGACGGCCGCCATTTCACAAGTGATTTAGCACATCACATTTCTGTTGCTGTAAGTTGCTGCTGCCACTCCTGGATGTCCAGGTCTGATCTCATCAAAATCAAAGGCCAACCTCATGTGTGCCACATTGCGCGGAAGCTCAGCAACATGACGTGGAAGCCATCGCATCATGATGTGACCATGGATGCAATCTGCTCTAAGCTTCTATCCCCGGCTGAAGCACATCGTTAGGACACTGCCTGGGCGTCAGATGCTTCAACTGTGCGACCTGCAACCTGGCCAACCTGGCTATGCGTCTGACCCATGGCAGGTGCTCCAACAGGAGCCGCCATTCCCCACGGTGCCAGAATCCAAGTCCTGGTGCATCGCTCTCTCCGCGCTTCACATACACTTGTAGCGGCTCGAGCAGCCACAGCCTCACAAAGCGGCAACTCGTCCGCATATGGGCTGAGATCGTAGCCCTTGGTCTCCTGCGAGGCCACGCGGTTAAACCCGAACTGGCCACGGCCAAAGTCGATCGAAACCCGCAGAACTGCCTTGACCCAGAAGTCATCGACAGGTTCCTTGCACTTCACGCGCTATCTCCGGCTGTCTCAACAAAAGCTCTCCACGCATTGTGCCAGTCATACATGGAAATGCGAGATCTGAGCCTTTTAAGGACTTTCTGGTTTGAACGACGCCCCTCGTGCAAGATGCGAATTGATGAACTGTCCGGTGGCCAGTCTGAGTCTGAGCTTCTGCGTTAGAACGTTCGTTACAACAGGTTACAACGTTTTGACTTCGCTTGCAGCGAGCTGCCGGCTTTTGCAGCACGATCTCTTCGAAGCTGACCGGCAAGACTGCGGCGTGCAGATTTGAGAACTTCTGGAACATTGTGACATGACAACACTACAAGCGCGTGGCCTCTAAGAGCCTGCGCCAAGGGTCCGGCAGCGAACGGCGCCATCGCCAGCGTCTGCTGTTGATGCTTCGACGACGAGCGTCACTTAAATTAGCGCAATAACTGTGGTTACAGCTGCATCCTGAAAAACGAAATGCCTGAAGTACACATGCCGATGCTGATACTTCTTTTGGGCCTTGACGTACTGGATCTGTCAGCGAGCGGCGAACATATGCAAAAGCGTATGACCGAACTTGTCAACAGAACTCGCAGTGGAGCTTGCGTTTGTCCATTTTGGATGTAAACTATTACAGCACGCAGCTCCCATTGCAGCGATTGCGTCGATGGTATTGGAAATATGCACGCTGTGGTTTGGCGAGCTGAGTGTACATGATCTAGAGATGACAGCACGATGCAGCCACAACTTTCGGCTTCATGCACCTGCGTGAAACAAAGAGACACCAGATTCTTCTTGCCCACATTGGCACGTAAATCCGTCCATGGAAACTGCAGCCGATACTGCCGATACTGACTTGCTGACTGCATTATGCGAATACAGGTTGGACAATGCCAAGAATCTGCATCAATGCTCGGGCGACTCGGGCGCTGCCAAAGCCTGATAGGGAGGTGCATACACCAATCGCTACGCTCAGCCGAAAACTTCTACCAATCACGTGCAGATTCGCACTGATCAGCATATAACATGATGGCAGAGCATGATGGCGATGAATTTCACAATCTGGCCACTTAGCTTCTCTCTGAGAGCATCGCAGGTCTAATCTGCGTGACTTGTGGGTGCCCCTTCTTGCTGAGGCCGATTTTGAAGATGACCTAGGGGATTTTCATCTGGATTGTCTGCAATCAAGAAACAGAAAAAGCTAGACCAAGAGCCCGAAAGCAGAGAACCAGACTCTGTCCAACGCCTTGCACAGTCAAGGTTCCATCATGAGCCGACCGCATGTGAAAAGGTCATGCCTTGATGTCTTCAGGGACCAGGTCCTGCGCGTGTAATCAACTCCATGAGCAACATATAGCAACACTCTCTAGAGCATTGAAGAGCGAAGGCGGCACAGGCAACAAAGCATGGAGGTCCCTCGGGACATATGTGTCTCGACCGTAGATCCTGCAACGGTCCAATCAGCAAGTGGCACTTCAAACTAAGGGGGAAAGTTGGCAAGCTGCAAGAACGGCTCCAGCCTATGTACATCTTGACAAGAAATGAAGCCGTAGCCATGCCTCCACTTTGAGCTGCGCAGATGCAAGACACAGGAAACCACAGACGGGCTACTGGTAGCAAGAACCATGACTCGAATCCGCTTGCATAGCGCAAGTGTCCATTCGCCTGTCACTGAGAGATTTGATGCTGCCCTCGAACTCCTGCAAAAAAATCAAGTCACTGCATGAGCATTTCAACAGCTGTTGATGGAGCTACCCTTGGAGCTAAAGACCACTCGAGAGCTCCCTGTCAGGCGGTGGCGGCGCCGCTGGTTTTATTGCTTTGTTGCCTTTCGAGCAGGCGCAGGTTGTCAATGTCAACACTCGCGGCCACTAGCGTGCTTTGCCTACTTTCTGCATTCTTTCCCCAAGCTGCGAGCTTTTGCTTGAGCACGCTGGGATTCAGACTTTTTAGCTCCTGGAGACGCTTTTCCAAGGATGGCGGCAAAGCCTCACAAGGCAAGGGTGAAACTTGCTGAAACTGCATCTCAAAAAGGTAAGCCAGAAGAACATCAGGGACTCATTTGAGGGAATGTGCAGCCTTGCGCATCTGGGCTCTGTGCGAGAGAGTCCGTGTCCTGAGCAGCTCTTGGATTGACGTAGCTGCTGGTTGCTGCTGGTACCTGCAACAGGAGTGTGTGTCTGTGTGTCTTGCTTGAATCAATCCAACATGCACATCACAGGAGACTTGCGTAGGAAAAAATCGCCAAACCGCCTGAGCAGGTGTTTGCGGTATTGCATGGGAACAGTTTTGCAACGTGTCCCAGAGAAGCTGTGTGCCTGTGGTCAGACAAGTGTATCTGAAAACGAAGCTGTTGGGCTTTTATGTGCGAAGCTGAATTGAACACACATGTGCTTTAAAACATGCTTTCGAAAGTTCGCAGCACGATGATGAAATGCACCGACAGATGGCCAAAGATCTTAGAGAGGCACGCGCAAAAACCTATAGAAACCCTGTCCCGAATACATAGCATAGAAAAAAAGCTCACCGCTTGCTTAGGGAGTCCATGTGGGTCCACGTGGGTCAGCTGATCCGAAATACAAAAAGACTGCTGCACCTTTTACATTCAGCGCGTGCGCGCGGATATGCGGATGTACATGTTCGGCGGCATTTCTCCAGCGTTTGCAAGAAACCGCATTTTCTTGTGGGCCTCTGAAAGATTCTCAGAGCTGCACGGTCTGAAGTCTTGTCCCGGTTTGGGAAAGCGTGTGATATGCAGCTAGTGCGACTAGTGGAAAGTGCAGGCTTTTGATCGCCTGCATCTGCGGCAACTGCGGCATGTACTGCCATGATGGCTGCGGGACCTTAGCCCAACGCTCTACGGATCCCGCTTACTTGACAAATAATTGCATGAAAACTTTGCTCAATGCAGGCTGAGAAAGTGGCAGGCCAGTATTGCGGCTGTGGTTGCCACCACGGCTGCTGACCGCCGTCCCATGTCTGGTAGGGGGCAGGCTCAAACACCTGCACGTGTGCTTGGACCATCTTCGACCCGACACTTTCATGTGGGGGTGAACATCCTAAAATTCGCCTCGGCTTCCTGCCGAGAAGCGTTTGGAACAAGCAGACACGGATCCGGTCTCCCTCCCCCTAACCCAACAATTCCCCATGCCAAATTTTGTGACGCACCCCCCCCCCCCCCTCCCGCCCTGTGGGACCCTCCCCCCAATCGCTTGGAGGAGCTGCAAATCCTCTCGAAAACCTCTGGGACCCCCCAGGACCCCTGGGACCCTTTTTTACCAAAAAACCTCTTTCCGCATTTCCTGTCTGTGGGCCGGCCCAGCTGCCGAGGCGGCGCGCGCAAGCGTTTACAATTAACGCAGCTCGTGGTCTCTGCAGCCTCAGCATAGGGCCCATCGTTCCACGTGCTGCTCTGCTTGTGTCCTAGCATCTCGAACACGAGATCATGCAAATAATAGCTGAAGGCTGATCATGGACACAGATGCCGCGCGGCATGGGCATCTAGTGACATGCAAAGTGCCGCACGGCTTGTGAAGTCCCAGCATACCTCCCAATCTGGAGGCTTGCCGGTGTTCCTGAGCGAATTCAAGAAGGAAACCTCCAAGCTTGTACAGCTCCGATGATGTCTCGGGGCCACGGCCAAGACATGACTCAGTTATATCAAAGGCGCAGCTGTAATCTCTACAACCTATGCCTAAACTGTGACAAGATCGTGCGTGGCCAAGCCTCACTCCATCAATTGACTGCGTTGGTTTTCCACACAGCTCTACAAAGTTATACAAAGCCACCCCTCACTATAGAGGCCTTAAGCCACCATTTATGTGGAGTTTACAGGTACGAGGAACCGACTAACAGGGTAACAGAAAAATACTGAAGTGTTGCTGGCATGAGGAAGGAGATCTTCTGAAGCATGAGCCTGCGAGCAACACATAAGACATGATAGGTATGAGCCATGCATGGCATTTTTCACGGACATGTGTCATTTGCGGTATTTTTCGTGGAGCCTTCGCAAGCCCCTACGTCTTGTGCAAAAGGTCTCTCCTGCACGAGCATGAGCTGTGTTTTCCTCCAGCCCAAGCTTGGAAAGGTCCGGCCCCAAGTCATAAATCAGCTCCAGAGTTGGAGAGCGACCGTCAACTTCAGCTCGTCGGAGGCTCCCAAGACAAGCGAATGCATGCGCAGCAACCTTACGGTGGTGCAACCGCTCAAAGCCTTCGAACCTTTGCTCTTTGGAGCGCGCTGGCAAAGAAAGCAGTTCTGGGGGAGACTGCTTCAAGACATCCCACGCAAGCAATGCGGTCCCGAACTCTTGTTCGGATTTTGGCGAACTTCGCAGCAGAAGTACACAAAGTCGACGCATCAAGCCTTGCAAAACCCACCAAGATACCCGCGGTACGGAGACCCACGACAAAGATGCTGAAAGCTCCAGGCCCAGACCTTTCCAGCCGGGTTTAACTTGTAAAAGTTCCAAGGCATGCTTCCACTTGAACGCAGCGGCACATGAGGAGACCACTGATGCGATGCTCAATGCATCTGGAATAAGCCTCATGCTGGGCATCTGCTCAAACAACACATACGCCTGTTCCCAACGACTTGCCCGAGAGCACGAACCGAGCGACGCGTTGAGCATGGTCAAATTCACATGCGAGGAAGATGAGGAAGTCAAGGCGGCAGAACTGCCAAGCCTATAAAGCTCCAGTGCAGCACATGACTGCTGCCACAAGGTCGCGCGGCCCAAAGCACTGATCTCTGCTCCTTTGGTGACCGCCGTCGGGGCCAAGCCAATTCGACGGATTGAGTCCAAGCACTGGACGGCATGCATCCATTGTTCACTTCGCGCTGCAGCTGTGATGGCCGCATTGAAGCATCCGATGCTCAGCAAGACTCTCCGGATCTGTATCTCGTGCAACAGGGTCAAGGCAATGTTCCAATGCCCAGTTCGACCCAAAGCATCAATGGCTGCCCCAATGCCTTTGGCCTCAACAACTGCATGCGG